TAAGTCTCGCCCGCACTATCCCAACTGCTGTTGCATGAGCCCAGCGTTCCGATGGCGCGCAGGGAGCACCCGACTGTTCCGTAATAACGCTGTCGCTTTTTTGCATTCGAATTGTACGCCCCGTGACCTTCGCTTATGCTGTGCGCAAGCACTTACCTTGCTGCCGTTTATATGGTATTCATTGTACTAGTTTAATCAGTTTGTCGTGCTACATTTCCAATTTTTTTTTCCTTCGGAAACACTTATCCCCTTTGAGATCATTGCACTGCTGTTCCCTTGTAATTTCTTGCCGTGCATGCTCGTATTGTACTTTCGCCCGCGCTTAGTGACCTTGCATTGAATCTACTCCTTTCACATTGTCATCTCACACGACTCGCTCTCCGTCTGTCTCGCACTAGCAGCGATGTCCTCTTCTAACCATCAGGTGTTGTCGAGGGTTTCACCACCCGCGCGGTGGAAGCTGCATCTTTGGGACCACAACCGCAGGACAGGCAGCTAGTGATGGTCTTGCCGACCGAGCGGTTTGATCTAAATAGAGCAGGGAGCTGTAGTAGGAGTAGCTCGTGCGGTAATGTGGTGGGTTCCGGGATCGCCTGTTTACTGCAAGTTGGTGAACTGTAGTAAGGAGAAGGCGGCAGTCGAGGGTAGCCCGGTGATAGCTCGTATGATTGCACTCAATGTTCGCGACAAGCCGGCTTTCGATTCGCTGTTTGACACCGCCCCCTCCGCTGCCGACCCACCCCTGNGTTTGACATCGCCCCCTCCGCTGCGGACCAACCCCTGCCTCCCCGTGAACCGCGCGCCCCGAGCCCGTCCCCACCAAATGGGGCGTCCGTGCCGCGTGTTCGCGTAAAGGACGCCAACCTGGGGACGCTGGGGTCGCTCAAGAAGCGTCAAGTCGTCAACGTTCTCGCAGCGTTCATCGAGGACGGCCTGTTTCCGATCGACCCGAAGCGAGTGCCGGCCTGCATCAACGGTGAGCTTGAGCTTCCTCTGATCAACGAGTTTTGTACACCTTTCGCAGCCAAGCAACGGCGTCTTTCTCCGGAAGAACGACGCATGATCAGGGCAGAGATTCAGCAGTTGGTAGACCGAGGAGTGATCCGTCAATCCATGTCTGCTTGGGCTGCCCAGTGCTTGTGCGTCAAGAAAAAGGATGGTACGCTGCGACTGTGCATCGACTGGCGTGAACTCAACAAACTCTTGGTCTCCGATAGTGGGGGTTTGGCTGACATGCAGACGATATTCGACGGGTTGAAGGGCAAGAAGTATTTCACTCAGGTAGACCTCGCCTCCGGTTTTCACCAGATGGAAATTGCCGAGAAAGACCGTTACAAGACGGCCTTTCGAGATGCGGATGGAATGCTTTGGGAATTTACGCGCGCGGGTTTCGGCCTGACGGTGCTTCCGGCGGCCTTTACTCGTAGAGTGAAATCGGCTCTGGGGCATCTAGCAGGCGTGTTTAGCTGGCTTGACGACATTCTCATCGCTAGCGACTCATGGCAAGAACATCTCGCCACTCTGACGCTCGTTCTGAACCGCCTTCTGGCTGCGGGGCTATCCGTAAAAACTTCGCAAAGTGCTTTTTCGGCGCAGCATCGCAGGAATTCCTCGGCATGATCATCGACAGCACGGGTCTGTACCCTGCTCCGTCTAAGCTAGATGCAATCGCACGCATGCCTCGCCCACACACCGTAGAAGAGCTGCGCACGTTTTTGGGTCTTACCGGTTACTTTCGTCAGGTTGTACCCAACTACAGTTTGACTGCGGCTCCGCTCACCAACATCCTGCGCAACAAAGCCTTCGCTTCGAAACGTGCACGCAAGCTTCATATCCCGTGGTCCGTAGCTGAGGAAGACGCCTTCCAGTCTTAACGAGAAACGTTGGCTTTCCCGAAGGTCCTCGCTTTCCCTGACCTTGAGCGTCCGTTCGAACTGCACACGGATGCTAGCACGCTGGGTGTAGGAGCTTCGCTTATGCAGACAATCGATGGTGTCACCAGAGCGGTGGCGTTCGCGAGCCACCGGTTTTCACAAACCGATGCTAGACGCGGGCCCACGGAACGAGAGTGCATGGGGGTCCTCTGGGCGGTAGACCACTTCAGGCCGTACCTAGCGGGTAGACGGTTCAAACTGGTCACAGACTGTTCTGCCCTCACATGGTTGTTCCGAAGCCGTGAACTCTGCCCCAAGCTGCACAGGTGGGCGCTGCGGCTGATGGAGTACGACATGGAACTGGAATGGAAGGCGGGGGTAGAGCACGTAGTGCCCGATGCTTTGTCCCGGTTGCCTGTGGCGAACCCGGTAGAGGTCGACGTCGACGATTCGTTTCCGGATGATCTGTCGTGCGCTGCAGGCACTGCGGTAGAGATTTTAGGACCGGAGTTGAAGGGTGTAAGGCTGGCTGAGTTGGACCCTGTGCAGGTAGACCAGGTAGGCGATGCTGACTCCCAACCCTCTCACCCCACTCCGGAGGGGGCCGACTTCCATCTGTCCGCCCTTCGAGCGTTGCCTTTCGCTGCATGTGCGGCTGTAGACCATGAGCCTGATGCCCCCCGCCGCAGCGGCCGGACCCGTACCCCTTCGGTACGATTACGACCGATCGGCGACGCGCAGCTGCCCCCGACAAGTGTGCTGGAGGCCCTCCCGGACAGAAAGGTAATCGGCCCCGCCGCGGTGCAAGCCTCATCTCCAGCGCCGTCGCCATCAACACTGCCGCCGTCCCCCGTTAGTCCTGGCGACGACGACATCGGTGAGGTGCTGGCGGCACGGGGGGAGGTTACGACGTCGTCGTCGAGCCACGCGTTGGATGGAGCATCAGCCATCGATCTGACAGCACGAGTGCT